TATCCTAACTTAAATAAGGCAATTTAATCAGTATTTAGTAAATTTGTCATTCGATATTGTAGATTCTTTCATCATATTTCACTTTAATCAAGAAAGGTAACACCTGTGGCTTGTTCACAAAAGCTTCTTTTGTTAAATGAACACCCGCAGGCCATGAAGCAATTACATTTGTTGCTTGTACCAAAGTAGGAGGCACTTAAATAGACCTTAGTAGGGATAGATGAGAACTTGCAGACTTTATTCTTTTGTCCAGCACTGAGATTAGTTCTTATCGTAGCTCAAGAAGGAAGCCTCTGAACTGAAAAGAAAAGATGGGAATGATTTAAAGTTCTTCTTAAGTTTGAAACTTTGATATTGCTGGAGGTGATGTGAATACCTGTGACCTTACGAAAGTTCAAACTTCATCTGCTCCCAGCTGATTGTACGTACTGATGCTCTTTGACAAACACAGACTGCTTGGAATTCCAAAAGGAGAGATTGCAAGAGATTCGTGTTTATAATTCTCCATTTATTTATTAAAAATCCATACTTCTTCAATCTTTAGTACCCCCCCCCCCAAGTACCCCAAAATCACAAACCAAAGAAAAACCCCACCAAAAGAAAAAACCCAACCCAAACCGCAAAAGCCTGTTTGCATTTAGTTGGGTTTGGGGGTATTTTTGAGGCAGATAATTTAATCTGTTAATCTGATTTTCAGTATATTAATTTTCTAGTATGCCTTTAATGTGCATACTGGAGTGCAGCCACCTCATCTCTTGAAGTTACTGAGTGAGTTACTCCAAGTTTGGTGTCATGTGAAAAGAGCAAAAGAATGTAATTCTTTGTTGATCCCCCCACCCTCATTTATGTAAAATAATGTTTAATGTCAGTAAGTATGCATCAAGTACCTGACCTGTACTTCAGTTGTGCCACTTTAACTATACCACTAAGTAAATGACTACAGCCCTGCAATTTTAGCCAGTTTGTTGCAGTGAAAGATGCTTATTTATGTGAGCTGAAACAGAGTAACCTACTGCCACAAGCTCAGTTGTTCTAAATGATAATCTCGCTCTGCTGGTCTATCTGCTCCTGTACCAGAGCCCTGGAAGGAGAGGAGGGAAGCCTCAGGAGTCTGATCAGGGCCCTGTATTCTCATGCATATGAGCTGCACCTCAGACAACCGGTTCTGCCGGAGAACTGCTGTTCCTTGGAAGTAAATCCTCGGATAATCCGCACAAAACCAGAGGCACAAGGGTTGCTGAGGCAGCAGAGGATCGGCGGCAGCGTGTTTTCACATGAACCTGCACGGCTGTGGAATTGCAGGGTTTGCGCGTGACCCACAGGTTGTTATGCGAAAATTCAGGTGCTGGGCCTGTGAGACTTACACATCTTAGTTCTGGCCTACGCGTAGGGGAGAACTGAAATGCTGCCCTGCCGAAGTGAAATGATTTGGCACTCTTGTCAGTACTTTTTGTATTCCCAGTCTTGCCATGTGTAGTAATGGTAACTGTGATTTCAGCTGTACTGCTTAGATACAATTAGTTTTGTCCAAGAGAATGGTCCATGGTCAGTAGGTACCAAAATGCAACATTGTGGATTGTCAAGCGAGTGCCTTTCCTATTGCCTTGGGTTTTTTGGCAACAGCAGCCTCTTGGTGTGCAATTAATATATTATTACTACAAATACAAGTTTTTGATTTTTTTTTTCCTTTGGTTAAAAATGTATCTTATTCCCAGCTACTGTACTTGCATAGCTTTGAGGCGTTTCAGATCAGGTCTTGATTCTGCAAAGGCTGATACTCAGACTTAACTTTATTAAATGGGAGTAATCCCACTGAAATCAGTGAGCTGGTCTAGAAAAAGCTTGGTGCATAAACCCTTGAGGATTCTGGCTTTAGCCTTTATTTCAAAGGGGCTTAAACAGCTCTTTTTTTTTTTAATTAACAATTATGGCCTGTCACTGGTATTTGGTTTCACATGTTCATGTAATTCATGTGATTTTTATTGCTTATCTTAATTCTAGGTTGTAGTGACATGCCTAGGTGATGGGCAGGCACCATACAAAGGTATTATACTGTATTATCTCTAGATGAATCATACAGTGTGACAGTACCCTTAACAACAAATTTAGAGGTGTAGGGTCCTGTCATAGCTTCCGTGGAGAACTATGAAAGTTACCCAAAGTGGTGAATTTCAGAATATAGGAATATACTTCATTGCAAATGTTCTGTCTGGAATGCAAACTACGAGCATCTTGTCTAGACAAGTAATTATTAGTAGTATTAGAACTAGTAAGTGATGTGCCACAGGTGGCAAAAGCACTTTGTTTTTTATACTTTTAGAGCATGGAAGAAAAACGGGAAGGTCTTGAAGTGCTTGGATGTACTTGTGCTATGAGTGGGTCCTTATTTCGCATAATGACAGATGAGCTTCATGTTCTGCCTACGGATTGGGGCAAGGAGGAAGCAGGGGAGGGGAGCTGGTCGTGTCCTGCGTGTGAAGCAGTAGCACATTGCAAGAAGTGACGCGTTTTCAGAAATGTGAAATGTTAATGTGGGTTTGCTTTTTTATTTCATTAAAAAAAAAAATATCTTTTTTTCATAGTAATTCATGCTTCTCCTTTTTGTGTATTTGCTGAGATAGTCTTTCAAAATGACAGTAGTTTGATGTACGACTTGTAATTCTGGCAGATGCTGGACAGGAGAGTTTGCACCAGAAGGTCAGAACGCTGCTTTGCATTGTAATATGCACCTGAAAAACAAGCTCCTGTGTAAGGGTGGACACAGGGAATGCTTTCGATGAGGGCACAGTGAATAAGTGAAGATGAGTATCCAACTAACCTGACAATTGCTGCTGGACATCCTGAATAGGCTGCATACCACAGAATTTTTGAGGAAAATAGGCATGTCAGTACATTCTCAAATGGAGACTTATCAAAAAACATCCGTCCACATCTGATGAGATGTATACTCTATACAGGTCGTTTGGATACAATATTTATTTTAAAATTTACTTCTGGTTGGTTGTATTGTTTGCAAAGCTGCTTGTGTAGGAGGAGGGCCCAAGTCATCTAGCTGAAATCAACTGGCCTTCCCAGAGAAAGCCCTTCCGTGCACAGGCCAGCAATCTGGTAAGCCTACAAAATAATAAAGGTGGCAGACAAGTGGAATACGGAATTCCTGTATTGAAGGACTGGGAGAACAAGAAGGACCTTGATAGAACTAGCAAATTAGTTTAAAGGAAACAAGGCAGCAGTCCTTTATACAGGAGACTGGAAGGAGACAGTAGGTTTCAAAAGGGTTTAGACATATTGCTGGTCTGTAGCTCCACATATAGATTCTGGAATGATGAGGCAGGGATGCGTGCCCTCCAACGTGCCCAACGCACCTGTCGGGGATACCAGAGAAACACAGCGGGGTGGTCGAGAGAAGATGGACAGGCTCACGCGTGCTTTCCATGACGAGCATCTCTTTTTGCCACCGTCAGAGACAAACTATTGGTTCTTAATCCATAGCTTACGCATTCGCCACAGCTCAGCGAAGGGACGCTCGGGTAGCGTGCTGTCCTCGGCTCCTAGTCGGGTCCCAGGCAGGCGGGAGCATGACTCAGCAAGAGCCTGAAAGGTTTATTTCAAGACAAGGTTCCCAATCTGTGTTACCTGGCCAGATACTTGTCAGTACCGACAATTCTACTTCAACTGCATTCTCCTCCAATGTTTATCTGGGAGACCTGGCTTTATTCTTAATGATTTACATCCAGACTTTTACTACTGGAGTGGTTATTTTGTTTAGTCTGTTATTCTTGAATTCGGTATATGTAGACTATTGTATTTATGAGTCCATGTGGCTTATTTCTAAACCATAAATGTTTATACTGCTCAAACTCTGAGTTTCATTTGAAATTGCGGGGGGGGGGGTTTAATTTTGTTTCTGTATTTTTTTTTCCATTGAATTGTGAGCATATTAATGTTTCAAGTGCATATTTGGTTTTGGAAAAATGTATGTTAAAGTCCACGTTAAATATTATCTAGATTGAGAATATGTTGCTACTTTAAAATTCTCAGCCTGGTTTAGAATTTTAGAAACAAAAACAGATTAGAAAAATAACAAGTATTTTATTTGGTAACTTGTAAGAGGTTATTTATATCTGAAATGTGGTTTGTTTTTTTTTTTTAATCAAAATAGTGTTGCATATTCCCAATGAAAATCTTAGTTTAAGACTTACAGTAGCAACTTTTTCATGTATGAAAGCTTTATACTCTTATTTAGGTAACTAATATAGCTATGTTGCTATTTCTCATTTTGTCATTGAGTCAGTCAGTGAATGCCATGAATCTATGGTATGTAATGTAGTTAATGCATAATATATATAGGCAATGAAAGGTCTTTGTCATATAGTATAAGGTCACCATCATTAATTTTCAAATTATAAAAAGGGATTCGCTGTTTTGTGATCATCATTATTGCAATATAATGCATTGTGGATTCTGCCTGCACATAGAATGAACTGTGATCTTAATTAGAACTTTGACAAGCCTACTCCGATAAAATGATGAGATTATTCGTAATTGATGTCACAATCAATTACCCGTTAGTTCATCATGAATCTACTAACAGGTCTAGCCTTGGTGCTGGCCCCAGGATGTTGATGAGTGTGTGGCTGCCCTGTTCATGCTGTTACTGCGACAGGAGGGCAGATTTTCAGTCAACATCCTAATGACCTCTTTTGAAGTCTATTAAATTAATGACCCTGTCACACTGGTCTAACCTCTTACATCTTCATTTTGGATTTTTTGTTGCAAACCATTGTTTTTTGAGCACATGATAGAACAGATACTTTGGAGCACTCCTTCTCATCCCTCCAAACCTGGCGCTCTGTCTTACTAGATTCAACAAAAAATTAGTTCATTATACAGTCAAGAAATACAGAACACAGGAACCAGAAAACATACTGTAAGGCAAACTATGCTTAATACCATTCTATTCTATTTTCTTTTTATGTTTCAATCTTGCTTTATCCTAGGTGCCTAAAGGACATGTTTGGTTAGAAGGTGATAATCTCAGGAATTCTACAGATTCCAGGTGCTATGGACCTGTTCCTTACGGACTGATAAGAGGACGCATTTGTTTTAAGGTGTATATATATTTATAATCTCTAAAAACATCATATACTATTATATTAATACATTTTAAATTCTTGGGTGTTAGGTATTAGAACTCGTCTCCTTAAGTGTCTGGCCAAAGCCGATGTGAAGGAAAGCTTGAACACACCGGCCACTTGCTGTAAAAGGGTAATTCAACAATGGTGGGGTTTTTGTTGAGGCAGGACTCGTTTTTTGAGCAGCGCTCTTTGAGCAGTCATTGCTTATGAAAACTGAATGAATTATTTAGCATGCAAATCCAAGCCTGATGAGAACACAAACATATGCATACACATACACATAACCCCCCCCCCAAGATGATATCACCTCTACATATATTTTTACACATACCCCCCCCCCCGCATGGAAATACATTCCATCTTTAATTTGATTCTTGCCTCTGCAAAATGGTAGAAAAGGGCCGCTCCATATTTCACTGTTGTTGGAATTTGAGAAGTGTAGTTCCATAGTTCAAAAACCAAAGATGGAGGAAAAGGCTGTCTTTCTAGGACTTGCATACATACTTTAGACATGTAGACAGGCGTTGCTGCTTTTTAAACTAAGCCTGTGAGAAAGCCTTAGCAGTAAAGTCAAATCTGTGCCACCGTAATTGTCTGCCACATTATTATTTAAAAAGAAATGTTTTGAATCAATATTGTGTCATATAAACCTCCACGGTTCCTTCTCCTGTTTCAACAATTCTACAGCTTCATGTCACACTAAATTACTTTTTCATACTATCTGCATTATTAATTTACTCCTTTACCAAAAAAGAAGCAACTAAGACAATTTCCTCTCCATAAAAAGTTTAATCTAAGAAACAAGGGAGTCTGTATTACAGACTTACGGACCAGCATTTAGAAAGCTAGATTTAAAATGGTGCCATTCAGAACAGTAAAAAAAGTTTCTGAAACTGTTCTCTGTATATTGCAACACATCCACAAAAACATCATTTAGCACAGCTGTATTACATGCACAGGAAAGATTCGCTCTTTCCAATTTAACAAAGTTTTATATACATAATTTACAGTTTTTATGAACACAATTTAGGACTTCTCAAAAAACCTTGCAGCTATTGACCGTAATCACTAATTGCTCAAATAATGTGTGCCCCTCAGCTCCACCACCAAGTTTTGTCTGGCCTCTGTTCCTTCTGGGTAGTGTTTGCTTTGAGTTCTTCCCTAGCGTTAAGTGAGCGCTCTCTGCTCCTTCACTGTACTCTTTGCCTTGCCGTGTACACCAGAGGAAAAGATGCTGATTCTAAACTGGGCTATTTCCATGACCACCCAAGTTTTAGCCTGGATTATTAACTGCTGAGATACAAATGATGCTAATATGCTGACAGCCTTCTTAATAAGAATGTGGTATTAATAATCCAACTGATGTACTGGTGTAGAAAATTTGCTGTTTGCTACTTTAAGGGTCTTGAATATCTCCAGAGAAAGAGAATCCACAACCTCTCTGCGCAGGGGACTGTTGGCAAATAATGTCTCTATTAAGAACCTATGTATGTGGACAGCTATAGTTATTCACAGTATCTCTCCACAGCAATAAACTTGTGTCCAGCTTGTACCCCAACAAGGAAGATGCTGGAGAGACTTTAATGAAGTGACTGACAGGACTGAGCCCTGAATTTAGCAAGCAGTAAACTCTGTAAAATTAATGGAACTTACACACAGATATTATGTATTGAAGAAGTACTTTAGGACTCCAGAATATTGTCTGTTTAAAAAGATAGCATGCAATCACTTGACACTTAATCGAAATAATTATTTAACCAAATTTTATAGCAGTTGTTTTATGATGGTGCATAGAATAGTGATTCTTAACATTTTAATGAGATTTAAGTATATGGTGCCTAACAAAAGCAAAAATAATTTTATTCTTCAAATGAGTGCTTATAGTTTGGGTTGTTTATGGTAATTCACAGTAGAATACAGTGATCTTGCTATTGGATGTTGCTGTGGAACATTATAGTGAAAGGCAGCAGAATCCAGCTGGTCCACACGGTGGTAGCTAATTAGTAGATCACTGGCCAAGACACCTATGTATTCTTTTTAATGTAGTCTGCTAGAGGTTTGACTTCTCTTTCATCAAAAATCTTTTACTGCCTTGAGAATGGAAGCTTATACGGCTTTATCTTTAAGTGGATTTCAGAGGAGCAGATGTAGCACTGCCTTTGAATGCTGTTACATTTTTCAGTAATGGATGCAAAAAAACAAATTTAATTTGGAAGTAATGGATTTTAACAAAAGAGAGCAAGCTTGTACCAGGTGTGTTTAGGCAACCTATTCTTGGCAGAACATAAATGTTAATTCTCTCTGTAGCTTATCTGTGAAGTTTAGACCTAGGATTCTCAGACAATGTTGGTGCACCAGTTTTTAACCCATACAGAAATAATGATACTTGATTATATTTGCTCCTTTTCTTCCCTGCCTCCAAATCAATTGCCACTCTTGAGAGACAAGTTCATTCCATAAAAAGGCCACTGAAATCAAAGTAGCTGCAAGTTCAGTAAAAGCCTAGGGAGTCCCACTTTGGCGGAACTCATGCTTCATCCTGTCCTAGGTAGGACATTCTGTGCGTTCCCTGGACTTAGGCTCCATGTCTAAAATAGACCTGTAGTGTGTCTTCAGAAGAGCTAGTTAGCCCCATCCATCAGATCAAATCTACATAGGCCAAGCCAAAGAGGGCAAGGGGAAACAGCTGCTAATTGGACTAGCCAGTCTGAACAAGCAAGTCACAGTCAACTTCTGTCTAAAAGACGGGAATTACTACACACGGTGGCATGCCTTTGTTCCACAGAGAAGGGTTGTTCCATCTCCCTTCCAACCTGGAGTATTGTTTTCTCACATTCCCTCCTGCACACAGACTACATAAAACATGGTTTTCATTCTCTCTACCACTAAGATTAATGTGATGAATTTGAAACTAAATTGTTAAAATAATATTTAAAACAAATTTGATTACTTTCACAGAAGTTGCAATAGGTTTGATTTGAGTTGCCTGAAATGAGATTTGTGCTGTGGTGAATGGCTTAAGAAACTTCCGGGCCTTTACTCAGATCCGCTTAGATTTAGAATATGGGATATTCCTACTCCTTTTACTCCCATTTGCCTTTGAGGCCAAACAAAGACTTGACACCCAGCCTTCAGCCAGCACAGCGCCTCTGGAGAGCCTTGAATTGCACAGCTTTGCTTCTCACCAAGATCACATATAGCCTTCTGTTGTTGGTTCCTATCTCTAGATATTTGTGTGGAACTTAAAATAGCTCACTGGCTAATATGCATACAGAGACCAGATGTCACCTCTGTGTATTTCTGTCTATCAGCAGACGTTCCTCATGCTCTTCCCTAACTGCAGGTGCCAAAAAAGACATGTATTTTCTAAGATATTTGCACAAGAGAGGTGTGAGCCTTCTTCAAATCCACAGAACTTGAGGTGCTGAGGATGACTCACCCTTCTGTTTTCCCGAGCACAGGGCTGCAAGGGGCCTGACAGAACAAGCCTAGGGAGCTTCTAGCAGTGCACGGTCCCAGCCTAGTAGTAAGTTGATGCTATGTCTTGCTACGCCCATCCTTAACTGCCTCTGCCTCTTCTGTCATTGTCTCCAGGGCTGGGGACAAGCCACGTGGTTCAAACTATTGAACCTTGGCACTGCGCTTCCTTTTTTAAACTGAGAAAATTACTTTTTCACTCGACATAGAAAGCAGCAAAGGCTCCTTCTGAGCTGTGGATGTTCCCTGAACTCAGGTAAAGAGTAAGTTGCTGTTCCTGGAAGGTTACCACATACCTTCCTTAAGATCAAATTGTAAGGAAAAAGGAGCAAGGTAAACACCATACTGACAGATGCTTTGGGAACAAGGTAGTGCATCATCTTTCTGTCTTGGTCACTTCATCTTGAGCAGAGGCTGTGAGGTTTTTACAGGATCAGAGCCACAGAAGGGCATTCATTCTTCAAGCACGTGTTGCAAAGAGACACAGGCAGTCAAGGGAGACAAAGTGTAAAAGAATGTCCTTGATTCCCTTCTACTTTTTTTTGCATCCAAGAGCAGCCTACGTGTAATTAACAGATGTTCAGAGGAAAGTACTCCTGGGAGCATTCAGTAGTATGAACAGCTATGTAGTTAATTTCTGGAGAGAAAGTTTTTTCTTATTGGTAAGCATTGTTCTCTGACACTTGTGCTTGTACTTGGTCGTGATCTGTGCGCCTTCTTTTCCCACATAGTAGTCCCCTTCTCAGAGAAGCCCCTTGGCTGAGAGTCCCTGATGGCGGCAGGCACTCCACCCCTTTATAACGACGTGCATGGTATAAGCTTACCTATAATCCTATGGAATTTTCTTCCAAGGTTTGGTGTTTGCAGTTCAAATGCCCATCTTGCAAATACAAATGTACACCTCGCAGAACTACTTTCACTGGGAGGTAATGTTTGTGGTATTCTTTCTTCTCCTAGATGGATCAAATATACATACTTTGTCTTTTAATTTCTTAAGAGGTTTACAAGCTGGAAAACTTTGAATTTAAAAGATATTTTTCAGGAATGTATTTGTTTCCAAGGCTGGAAAAAAAACAGTAAATTGTGAGGCTCTTCATAGCAAAGCATGCTGTGTATAAACTAGTGTTGTCTCTAGCCACTATGGAATAATGATTCCATATATATAGTGTTTATTATATATATAGTGGTTATTACTCCTAGTAAAAGAAACACACAGGTGAGAAAAGTTCGTATACCCCATCAACCAAAGAGCTAAAAAATTATGCAGTTTATAAAACAATTACAACAATAAGACATGAAAATACTGAACTTTGAGTTGTGATTAAAATCTCTTGTAACTGTATTTTATTTTACAGATATGGCCTCTGAATGACTTTGGATTTCTACGTGCAAGCCCCAATGGCCATAGATTTCTTGATGATTAAAAGATTTAAGTGACTATTGCCAGCTTTCATAATATTTTCTACTAAAATCAATGGAACTATTTTTGTTTAGAATAAACACAAATTTTACTTGACAAAGATGTTGCTTTCTGAGATTACATCTAACTTGAAAGTGGGAACGATATACTGCTGTCATCAACAAAAACGATACGTCTCTTATGCTGTTTCCTCTGGCTATGCACAGTAAGTGCTTGGATTTGTGAGAAGGTTTTGGTTTTTACTACAAGCCAAGGCTAGCACTGACTGTTAACAAGGGATGAAAAAGGCACAATGCACTATTATGTTGTCACACATCCAGAGCCAGACGTAGGCTGTGCCTGCACTAGCAGGCAGTGTGGCATGCTCCGATTGGGGCTGAAGGCAGTAACAGTGGGGCTCGGGATCCGCTAGTCACGTACATGTGCTGCGCAGGGTTTTCCTTAGCGGGCTCTGGCCAGGTTCCTGGTTAGTTTTCACCAAGGAACGAAGACTGCATTTGTTCAGATGATGCAGAGAGTCAATCCAACAGCACGCTCCTGCTCCAAGCTGAAATGTTGATGTAGATGCACTGTCACAGGCCAGTGCACAGGTGCTGGACCTGCCACTTCGTGCTGAAACCACCAGCCTGGTCGATCTGCGAGTCTCTGTCACCTCGTTCCAAGGCTCAGGTCCTTGTGAGGATTTAATGAAGTTAAATATTTAGCGTAGAAATTGAAAATTTCCCATTAATGCACCTTACTCTTCATTATCTTCAAAGCATTCTCACGTGTACGCCTCCTGATTAGATTTTGTCATCTGAGCTGTTAAAAGGATTTAAACCTCAGAGGTAGGGCCCAAGGTATAGCTGATACAGACGGAGATTGAAAGAAGCTACTCTGTTGTTTGCTGGGAAAGAAATGTCATTTAGATCATGAGATACATTCCAGTTGTACAGAACTTAGTGTTCTGTTCTGGAGGTTTTTAATAACTGGCTCTTTAGCTGTGGAAGGAAAAAAATAAAAAGCCTCATGTCTGCAGAGCTACATAAGCAAATGGGCACATTTCTGTTCTTAAGCCTGACTGAACTTGTTCTTGCAGTGCCCCCCTTTTCTTCAACGCACACTTAGCAGGTCCTGTCCCCTGCTTGTCCAGTCTTTCTGAGAGTTTGTAACTCTTGGTGTGCTTGATTGAAACAATCATTGAAGAATCTCGATAACCAGTGAACATGTGTCACAACAAACCACAGAGACATCTTTGGTTTCACTCTTGAAGACACTGTAATTCCCACCACATCGGCATGAGAGAGTATAACATTGTTCATCTGCCAAAAAAGAAAACAAAAAAGCCGTTAGTGCTTGAGAAGAGTCAAGAATTTATTCTGGATTTTCTTCACAAAGCTGCTCTTAATAACAAAACATAATTCATGTGTGTGACCTCCCACTGCTGGGCTGGCAGTATTGGCACCTCTGCTACCATTTGTTGCTCAAAAAATATCTATACTCTTAAAATGTGTGTTGGTGACTGTGGGGCATTCTCAAGCCAAACAGCCAGGGTCAGTGCAGTCTCTTCAAAAGAGCAAATAAAGGTGCCCATCACTGAAACGGACATACGTTAAAAGGACTACATCACTGAGTACTGCTGAATGAGAACTCGATTCTGACAAAGGACCAAGATCTTTAGAGAGCAGTTAAGAACAAACGAAGAGGTGTTATACGTGAGAGAGACCAAAGATGGTTCCAAACCAGACTGCTAACCCAGGAAACAAACAAGAGAACAGAGGAAAGGAAAGTAGATAGGATTTTTCGCCATAGCTTAAAAATAGAACAGTAAAAAAACCCCGGCCATTCATCCAAAATGCAAATAAATGATAAAAGCTAGAGTAATGTAAAGGAGAGAAGTAACACACTCAGATGAAAAAGATCTGCATGAAAACACTTGCATTCTACCATCACAGAAAGAGCAAGATGGATGAGAGATTTGGGGAGAATCTGGAAATCTAAATATTCTGTTACAGCACAGAAAGAGCGCTAGGTGAGAAGTGGCACTGCAAGCTCTGCAGGCCCAAGGGCAGGGGGCAGGAAGAGACAGGTGAGAAGGAATGCAACAAAATAAGCATCACAAAGTTAAGTTCCAATTCAGGTAATTCAGAGAACAGAACAGCTAAATCTGAGGAAAATACAAAAAAAGCAGAACTCAGAAGACAACATAATGGTACAAGATGCAGAAGAAACAGAAAACATTTGCAGCGACAATGAAAGGCACTGGGAACAAGCAGTGAGGCACTCATACCTTCATTCCAGGACATATCCTCGAGATAAATTTGTGCGTGTAGTGGCCATTCTTTTGTCAGATTATCTTCTGTAAAGAAAACATGACAAATGTTCAACCCTGATAATACACAGGTCCTTATTTCTGAGAAATTAATAGTTTCATATACGTAGCGGTCAATCTCTAGCCCCTACCAGCAAGTCATACCTAGCCCATGCTATCAGTTAAAAATGCAGTTCTCTAAAATTTCAGTTTCCATACCTGTGCATAAGCTGGAAAATGTCCTGCTGTATCCAGGAGAAATAAAGGGTGAAGATGTATTACTGAAATTAAGACACTGCTGAAGCCACTACTTTTGCGCATCCCAAATAATTATGTGAAATTAGGGGCAAGTTTTGATACAAATACTGTTTAAAAACCTGGCTGTAACTACACTTCCACTTTGCACAATCTCTGCTTACCTGCACTTTTCACAAAATCACAGAACGGTCGAGGTCAGAAAGGCCCTCTCAAGATCACCCAGTCCAGCCCTCGTGCACAAGCAGGGTCAGCTAGAGCAGCTTGCCCAGGACCACGTCCAGGCAGATTTTACATACCACCACAGTCTCTCTTGGGCAACCCATTCTCCTTTAGAAAGGAGAAGCCAAATAAAAACCCCTCAAGAGGCACCAAGGAAGCATTTGGCTTGTGCAAGAACACCACGATTCCCACAAAAAGATACTCCTAACAAAAGATCAATTAAAAACACTTTTAGGGGAAGACCAGTGCAAGTGTTGTTTTATGATAAGAGTCTCTCAGCACAGAAAGGCAGTCGGTTCTGGCTGGCACCCGTGAGATCTGCTGCCACTTGATCCCCTACATTCTTCCAACATTGAGGACAGAATGAAAAGTGTACAATACAATTTAAATTATGAAATGCAAACTATGCAATACAAATACAAATTCTTTTTTGCAATTTATCAGCACACTCACATTTGATGTACAAAGCTCACACCAAGTTCTTTAACTAGACAATACAAGATTTTGTCAACAAAGTTACAAATGAAGCCATAAAAGGTAATATATATATATATATATAAAAGGACATAAACCCCTTACAACTTACTACAGAATCACAGAATCACAGAATAGTAGGGGTTGGAAGGGACCTCTGTGGGTCATCTAGTCCAACCTTCCTGCCGAAGCAGGGTCACCTACAGCAGGCTGCACAGGA